ACCAAAACACACACACACACACACACACACACACACACACACACACACACACACACACACACACACACACACACACAGAGAGTCATGATGATGAAAACACAAGCTCTTCTGATGGGCTCTAACATCATGACCTCTCACCTGTATGCTGGACTCCTGAGGGGCTCCGGGTGGCACCTGGACTCGATCATGAGGACCGGGAGCCTCTGCTGAGAAACCCATTACCGGCGCTGTGATTGGAGCAGGGGGAGTGTAGTTCTCTGGCAGCTGAACAACACACACACACACACACACACACACAGACAGACACACACACACACACACACACACAGACACACACACAGACACACACACAGACACACACAGCACTAAGTTCAATGACACTCGGAGCAAGTACTGAACATTCAATCCGACCATGTTTCCACCTGAGAGCCAAACAATGATGCAACACATAACCTGTCCATTTTCATAAATAGTACATTGTGCACTGTTGGCATATTTAATTTTTTTTCAACAATATTTTAACATTTAAAGTCATTTAATTCAGGGTTTTATGCAATCATAGAATTTGACATAACAAATAGCAGTTATTTTAAAATATAACAAGGAAAATTCAGCTCCAGCATCATGTCAGTGGAAAACAGGTCAGACTGTTTCCTGCTAAATGGATTATTATTAGCAACATAATTATGCAAATGATAAATACCTTTTTCTTTCGTTGTCCTGCGCGTACAGCTGGAGGGTCGTTCCACCCGTCCTGAACTGAAGAGACAATATTCACACAATCACAGGGCATCAGTCACCAAAACATTTATTTGCATTTAAATAGAAACACATGCATCCATACAGCAGCAACAAAACATTTCTTCACACTCAAGTCACACTTCTAAATGTCTGACTGTCACTGCATCTTTACAGACATTTGTGTGAGTGATTTAAGCGTCTCTGCAGCTTCTCTTTCTGTCTGACTTACACTAGCATTCAAAATTCATCTGTGAATCCTGAAAAATAAAATGCATCACGGTTTCCACAGAAATATTGTGCAGCACGACTGTTACAGCTGGAGGGTCGTTCCACCCGTCCTGAACTGAAGAGACAATATTCACACAATCACAGGGCATCAGTCACCAAAACATTTATTTGCATTTAAATAGAAACACATGCATCCATACAGCAGCAACAAAACATTTCTTCACACTCAAGTCACACTTCTAAATGTCTGACTGTCACTGCATCTTTACAGACATTTGCGTGAGTGATTTAAGCGTCTCTGCAGCTTCTCTTTCTGTCTGACTTACACTAGCATTCAAAATTCATCTGTGAATCCTGAAAAATGAAATGCATCACGGTTTCCACAGAAATATTGTGCAGCACGACTGTGTTCAACATTGATAATAATCAGAAATGTTTCTTGAGCAGCAGATCAGCATATTATACTGATTTCTGAAGATCATGTGACGCTGAAGACTGGAGGAATGATGCTGAAAATACAGCTGCGCATCACAGAAATAAATTACAGTTTAACAGATATTCACATAGAAAACAGCTGTTTTACATTATAATAATATTTCACAATTTTACTTTTATAAAAATTTATTTATTTCTAAATATTTTTTAATATTGAAAATGTCTTTAATATAAAAATGTTTAAAATATTGTATATAAATATATATATATATTTTAAATCAGTCATTTTATTTTATTGTATTTTTGATCAAATAAATGCAGCTTTGGTGAACAGAAGAGACTCTTTCAGAAACATGAAAAAAATCATGCTTTTGAATTTTTTTCTTAGTCTGTTTATATCATCATATAATGCAAAACTCACACAGCAAACTTACAATAAGCACTCCGGTGTCACACTAACATTATTACCCATGAAGCTCAGAGAGATCACACAGGAAGCACAACATGATCAGTGTGCGAATTTGCAAATGACTCATAATCAATCAGCATTAAATATTAGAAGAGCAGAGTTTGGACTGTTGCTGTCCCTCTTAAACACACACACGCACACTCACACACTCACACACACACTCACACACACACACACACACACACACACACACACACACACACACACACACAATTATTTACAAAGTTTGTTAGCATGGTGTTAGCATTATTAGCATGTTGCTTGCATGTTGATAACATGTTTAACATTGTTAACATGTTGCTAGCATGTTTTAACATTATTAGCATGTTTCTATCATTATCAGCAAGGTGTTAGCATTATTTACAAAGTTTGTTAGCATGGTGTTAGCATTATTAGCATGTTGCTAGCATGTTTTAACATTATTAGCATGTTTCTATCATTATCAGCAAGGTGTTAGCATTATTTACAATGTTTTTTAGCATGTTGTTAACATTATTAGCATGTTGATAACATGTTTAACATATCGTTAACATGTTGCTAGCATGTTTTAAACATCATTAGCATGGTTCTATCATGATCAGCATGGTGTTAGCATTATTTACAAAGTTTGTTAGCATGGTGTTAGAAATATTAGCATGTTGCTAATATGACAATTAGAAATTATGCATTGGGAACTAACTGAAATATACTAGTTTAAGATGAAGTACTAAAATTACCAAAATTAAACAAACAAAAATAAAGCTAAATAGAAATATTATACATTTTTAAACTATAACCTCACGGTTTCAACACAAACTCCCTAAAGACAGCAAACACTTGCAACATGCAGATGATGCATGAGAATGCACTGTAAATCAGACGAAACGCCCCTGTGCAAACACACACTGTACACAAGCCTCGTCTTTCACAATATTCAATAGATGCGCAATTTCATCAAGGCCACGAGGAAGCAAATAATGTTTGCTGATCATCAGCAGACGGCGTATGGGCTTACATTTCTGCCACAATTCTGCGTGCACTTGTGCGCTCAAAATATGATCTTTCGCGCGCAGAATTGTGGCAGAAATGTAAGCCCATAACGGTGTGCACTTCATCACAGAGAGAGCGTCTCACCTGTGTGTGTGCTGCAGGTGTGTGTGTGTGTGAGTGCTGTGTCTCACCTGTGTGTGTGCTGCAGGAGTGTGTGTGTGTGTGTGAGTGCGGTGTCTCTCCTGTGTGTGTGCGGGAGGTCACCTGTGTGTGCTGCAGGAGTGTTTGTGTGTGTGTGTGTGTGAGTGCTGTGTCTCACCTGTGTGTGTTGCAGGAGTGTGTGTGTGTGTGTGTGTGAGTGCTGTGTCTCACCTGTGTGTGCTGCAGGAGTGTGTGTGTGTGTGAGTGAGTGCTGTGTCTCACCTGTGTGTGCTGCAGGAGTGTTTGTGTGTGTGTGTGTGTGAGTGCTGTGTCTCACCTGTGTGTGTTGCGGGAGTGTGTGTGTGTGTGTGAGAGCTGCTTCTCACTTGTGTGTGGGCTGCAGGAGTGTGTGTGTGAGTGCAGTGTCTCACCTGTGTGTGTGCTGCGGGAGTGTGTGTGTGTGTGTGAGAGCTGCTTCTCACTTGTGTGTGGGCTGCAGGAGTGTGTGTGTGAGTGCAGTGTCTCACCTGTGTGTGTGCTGCGGGAGTGTGTGTGTGTGTGTGAGAGCTGCTTCTCACTTGTGTGTGGGCTGCAGGAGTGTGTGTGTGAGTGCAGTGTCTCACCTGTGTGTGTGCTGCGGGAGTGTGTGTGTGTGTGTGAGAGCTGCTTCTCACTTGTGTGTGTGCTGCAGGAGTGTGTGTGTGTGTGTGTGCTGCAGGAGTGTGTGTGTGAGTGCAGTGTCTCACCTGTGTGTGTGCTGCAGGATTGTGTGTGTGTGTGAGAGCTGCTTCAAACTTGTGTGTGTGCTGCAGGATTGTGTGTGTGTGTGTGAGAGCTGCTTCTCTCTTGTGTGTGTGCTGCAGGAGTGTGTGTGTGAGGGCAGTGTCTCACCTGTGTGTGTGCTGCAGGAGTGTGTGTGTGAGGGCAGTGTCTCACCTGTGTGTGTGCTGCAGGAGTGTGTGTGTGAGGGCAGTGTCTCACCTGTGTGTGTGCTGCAGGAGTGTGTGTGTGAGGGCAGTGTCTCACCTGTGTGTGTGCTGCAGGAGTGTGTGTGTGAGGGCAGTGTCTCACCTGTGTGTGTGCTGCAGGAGTGTGTGTGTGAGGGCAGTGTCTCACCTGTGTGTGTGCTGCAGGAGTGTGTGTGTGAGGGCAGTGTCTCACCTGTGTGTGTGCTGCAGGATTGTGTGTGTGTGTGTGAGAGCTGCTTCTCACTTGTGTGTGTGCTGCAGGAGTGTGTGTGTGAGTGCAGTGTCTCACCTGTGTGTGTGCTGCAAGAGTGTGTGTGTTTGCCGGTCCTTTAGCACCTCCTGCTGGCGCAGACGGCTGCGGTCTCTGCAGGATCTCACCCTTCGCATGCAACAGTCGCTGTCTCAACATCTGAACACCAGCCTAAACCACACAAACACACACATATAGAGAACACGCTTACCAAACACATCACTCACCACAACTCCTGTACAACACACAGAACAGACTGGCACATTTCTGAAAAAAACATGAGTACATATTTTCATTTTATTAATTTATAAATTTTAAAACAGCAATAATATTACCGTACTGTTAAATACAATTTGAGTATTTAATAATTATAATAATGATTATTATTAATTATTTACACACATCATTTTACAAGATTATAAATTATAAAAATTTAATAAAACATATTACTATAGCACTAATATTAATTATTTTAATTATATAAAAATAAAGAAATAGATTACTATAGCAATAATATTGCATTTTAATAATAATAATAATAATAATAATAAACAATAATTAATCACTTAAATATTTTTATTTTATTAAATCATAAAAATTAAAATAGCAATAATTCTACTATACTGTATTATAGTTATAATAACAATAATAAAAAATCTATATATTTTTTTAATTAAAATCAATTAAGAAATATATTACTATTGCAATAATAATATTGCACTCTAAAATTAAAATGAGTATTTAAATTAAAAATAATTTTCATTATTTCTTCAAATATTTGTATTTTATTAAATAATAAAAATTAAAACCGCAATAATTCTATTGTACTGTAAAATAAAAACTAAGCATTTAATAATAATAATTACATTTTAATTAATAATAATAATAATTTTACCAAACAATCCAAAAAATATAATACTAATTTATTTTGGTGGAAGACCAAACCAAATTCTATTGTTGACAACAGTTGGCTCATACATGTTCTTCCTAATACATGTTTCAGACGACAGCTGATGCGTGTTGTGTTACCAACAGTATAAGCGACTCAAACTCACAACACATGCAGATGTTGGAAATCATGAGCAGCTCACCTGTAAGTTTCACTGTTACTATGTAAATGTGTATGAGTGTGTGCACCTGGTCTGGGCTGTCAGGCAGGTAGCGGAGCGCTGAACTCAAGCTGCCCTGTGATGCCAGGATGCTGGAGTACTGGATGAGCTTCTCGGTCAGCGCTGAGCTCTGAACACAAACCTCGCCGCTACGCAGACGCTCGATCGACTTGCGCAGGATCATCACCTTCTCCACCAGATCCTGCAGACGCACGTGAACACAGACGTCAGCGCACGACAGCATTCACTCAATATGTGACCCTGGAGCACAAAACCAGTCATAAGGGTCAATTTTGTGCAATTGAGATTTATGGATCAGCTGAAAGCTGAATAAATAAGCTTTCCATTGATGTATGGTTTGTTAGGATAGGACAATATTTGAAAATCTGGAATCTGAGGGTGCAAAAAAAACTAAATATTGAGAAAATCTCCTTTACAGTTGTTCAAATTAAGTTCTTAGCAATGCATATTACTAATCAATAATGAAGTTTTTATATATTTACGGTAGGAAACTTACTAAATATCTTCATGGAACATGATCTTTACTTAATATCCTAATGATTTTTGGCATAAAAGAAAAATGGATAATTTTGACCCATACAATGTATTGTTGGCTATTGCTACAAATATACCCCAGCGACTTAACACTGCTTTTGTGCTGCAGGGTCACATATATAAACGTGAAAGAGTGCGTGTGTGTGACCTCCAGCTCCAGCGGCGAAGAACAGTCTCTCTGTGACGTCCAGCACTCCACCAGACGCTCGATGTTCCCCGAGCAGATGAAGCACAGACAGGCCTGCAGACAGCGCTTCTCTGTGCCTTCAGCCTGCAGACGAGCACCCAGAGTATCTGCACACACACACACACACACACACACACACACAGAGCTGTCAATCCTTCGAGCTTCCGAGCTCTGATTGGATGAGCTGCATTCAGAGCTCTTATACTCTGTACTGATGCAGAAGTGTGTTTGTCAGCAGCAGCAGACTAATCAAGAGACTGTGGTTAGACTCGTGATGCTCTCACCACAGAGAGGAGCGAACGCCTCGGGGTTAGCGTAGGTCAGCAGGGCCGCTAGCGCCTCCTTCCAGTTATCCAGCTCACAGCTCTGGACGATATCACGCCAGTTCTGCGTCACCACTGACGAGATCAGCTGACGGGGAAAACAACGTGGAGGAGGTGTGTGTGTTTATATTAAGGAAAGCTGGTGTAATACAGCAATAGTACGATATAAGATTTGTAATTCAGATATTGAACTAATTGCGGTTTCCCAGTCATTCTTGAGAAGTGGGACAAAATGGTGCAAAATTGAAAAAAAATAAATTATCTTGTACTCAGATAAATGAAACTACATTTATGTATCTTATATGTACTAAGCTACTGAGCTATGTTTTGATACAACCAACCAACTTTTCTCTTTAACAAAATGTGCTTTTTTTTTTTTTTTTACCTTGGACTGTGTAATATAATTTCAGCTTTATCTTTAACAGCATTCAAGACGTTTTTTTAACATTTTCATACCTACAAAAAAGATCACCTTGTATCCCAATAATAATTATACCTTGGAGTTAAAAGGTATACTGAATATGAAGAAGAGAGTTTTTCTCTCAGGAACTAATGAGGAGAAAAAACAGATAAACAGGGACGTTAAAAGGGCAATAAAAACTGCTAAAAATAATTATAAAAATAAGATTGAGGATGTGTTTCTGCATGGTAATCTTAAAGCAGCCTGGAAAGGAATTAAGAGTATGGCTGAAGTAAGTACACGGGTATCAAATCAACAAATGCCTATGGAGAATTATGATGCTAATTTTCTTCTAAGTATAATGAATTTTTTTCTCGTTTTGATACATCTGTTGTAGGTAATGAGATGGCACTTTTTATAGATCATATTAACAAGATGGCAGTTTTTAAAGATAATACTAGTTCCTCTAATAATTTTAAATTAAATCAATTAGATATATTGAAACAGTTGAAGGCTACACCTATTTTATGGTGTAATAGGATGAAATTAGATTTGAATGTGTCAAAAACGAAAGAGATGATCATTAGTTTTAGTAGGAAAACACTTGCACCTCAAAGGGTGGTCATTAATGACACACAGGTTCATGTAGTGGAGGAATACAAGTATTTAGGAACGATTATTGATAATAGGCTGAAGTTTGATCAAAACACAGATGCAATTATTAAAAGGTCAAATCAAAGATTGTTTGTGCTGAGGAAGCTGAATTCCTTTCATGTACAGAGAGTCATTCTCAGGACTTTTTTTAAATTCATTTGTTGAAAGTATATTGTCCTTTTCCTTTATTTGTTGGTTTTCCTTATCGTCTACAAAGAACAAAAATAGTTTGCAAGGTATTGTTAATGTGTGCTCAAAAATGTTAGGTGTTCCCTTGCGAAGTCTTAGATTTTATTATGAACAGCAAGTGATGAGGATGGCACATAAGATTATAGGAGACTGCACACACCCTTTGAATGAGTATTTTGAGTGGATGCCCCTTGAGCGACGTTTAAGGTCAATTAGATGTTCCACAAACTGGTACAAATTTATCTCGCCCTTCTCTTCTCGTCCGTCTCGTCTCGCCTCGCCCTTCTCGTCCGTCTCGTCTCGCCCTTCTCGTCCGTCGTCTCGCCTCGCCCTTCTCGTCCGTCGTCTCGCCTCGCTCTTCTCATCCGTCTCGTCTCGACTCGCTCTTCTCATCCGTCTCGCCTCGCCCTTCTCATCCGTCTCATCTCGCCCTTCTCTTCTCCTCCGTCTCGTCTCGCCCTGCCCCGTCCGTCTCGCCTCGCTCTTCTCGTCCGTCTCGCCTCGACTCGCTCTTCTCGTCCGTCTCGTCTCGCCTCGCCCTTCTCGTCCGTCGTCTCGCCCTTCTCGTCCGTCGTCTCGCTTCGCCCTTCTCGTCCGTCGTCTCGCCTCGCCCTTCTCGTCAGTCGTCTCGCCTCGCCCTTCTCGTCAGTCGTCTCGCTCTTCTCGTCAGTCGTCTCGCCTCGCTCTTCTAGTCAGTCGTCTCGCCTCGCTCTTCTCGTCAGTCGCCTCGCTCTTCTCATCCGTCTCGCCTCGCTCTTCTCGTCAGTCGTCTCGCTCTTCTCGTCCGTCTCGCCTCGCTCTTCTCGTCAGTCAGCTCGACTCGCTCTCCTCGCTGGAGAAATGAAGTCTGATCTGTGATGCGACTGTCGTTCGGCACGCTGCATTGAGCAGCCGCGTTCAGTTTTTAATTGTAGTGTCTGTTCTTTTACTGAACTAAATGATTTTTATTACTATAAAAAAATCTAAACGACGGTGGGGGTCGGTGACGCGGTGGGCAAGTGACGTAACCGGTGCTGCGGCTTAACACTGTCTATCGCGGCAAGCCTAATACACACCTGATCAGAAAGCGTCTGCATTTTCTCAGCCAGATCATTCACGTCTAAACCGTTCGGATGAAGCTTCCTCCCCAAACACGCTGAGATCTGCAGGAATCGAGGTTAGAATTAGAGCTTCACTCAAAAACAAACACGTTTGAGTCTGATTTTTTCACCAAGCATCATCAGAAGACTTGCTTTTTGGTCATTATGGGAGTCAGTGTAATATCTCCAGGTCACATTATTCCTTTATTGCATTCCAAAAAGCATTATTCCAATGATTTTAATGAGGTGGGGTAAGATGTGTCAGTGGATAAACAGCATTATGCATTATCCCTGCTCTCCCCGAATGTAATGATTTGTATTGTGATGCGATACCTTCCTCTGCAGCTCGTCTTTACTGAAGCCCAGCAGCCGCAGAAACTTCACACGCGCCTCATCCTCAAAATTCACCTGTTAGAAACACCGCAGAACAACGACTGATTGAAAGTGATGTGTGCATCAGTTCTCAGAGCATAAATGTGACGTTCTGTGGCTTTTAGTATGAATATGATAGCTTTAAGATTATCTATATTTTCTAATCCTGTCTCTCAAACAGTAAAGTATGGCGCTTGCAACACCAAGGCTATGGGTTCGATTCCCAGGGACTATATTTTTTATTTTACAGTGAATTATTACAAAAGTATTATTTATTTTGTTTTTATTTTATTTAGCAATAATAATAATAATAATTATATTAATAATAATAATAATAATAACAACAACATAGCGGCCCTATAAGCTCTTCAAACAAGTTTTTTTTTAAATCACATTTTAAAATCCTAAATACACTAAATACAGCCATTCCACTTCCCCAATAATAATAATAATAGTAAAAATAATACTGAGACTAATAATAATGACATTATTAATAATAATAATCATAATAAATAAGACTAATAATAAAAAGAAAAATAACAATACTAATAACAGCAAGAGCAACAACAATAATTTAATAGTATATTAATAATAATAATAATAATAATTAAAATAGCTAACAATAATAATAATTATTAAAATAAAAAAGGCTAATAATGACAAGGAAATGAATACTACAAAAATAATTATTATTTAATAATATTTTAAGAATTTAATTTAATTTTTATTAGCATTATTGTTATTATAAATATTATTGTTGTTGTTATTACTAATATTAGTAGTAGAATTCTTATACAAGTGTTTTTTAAATCACATTTTAAAATAATTTTTATCCCAAAAATCACAAATAGATTTAAAATCGTGCAGTTCTACCCAACATTATAAAAAGTCTCTGAAATTTATCATTTTGTTCAATTTCTCAGACTTCATATCTGTTTTTCACATATTTTGCATCTCAAGTAAATGCATCCTGATCCTCTGTTAACTATGCGACTGAATGAATCCGACTCCTGTGTGCTTCACAGAAGAAGTTGTGTGTAAATGTGAAAGTTTGTACCATGAGGAACCTCCATATGTCCTGCTCGGCGTCAGACGGGGCACTCCTGATCTTGCCGTGGCAGTAGCTGCTAAAGGATCTGGATTGTAGAGTGGCCTGCAGCTCGGCTGAACGCTGGAGGAACGCCGTCTCTGTGGTCACCTGACTCACATGCACCTGTCGCGGGATTGGCTGCTGCTGAGGCGCTACTTTAGGGCTCTCAAACATCACCAGCTTCCCTCCGAACTGGAGGAGACAGAAGCGAGCGCAGACTCACAGCAACATCTTAAAGGAGACACATTATGCCCCTTTTTACAATATGTAATATAAGTCTCAGGTGTCCCCAGAATGTGTCTGTGCAGTTTCAGCTCAAAATACCCCACAGATCATTTATTATAGCATTCTGAAAATGTCTATTTTGAGTGGAAGCAGAAACACGCTGTTTTTCGTGCCTGTCTCTTTAAATGAGCTGCTGCTCCCCGCCCCCTTTTCCTGAATAGAGCTGCGCCATTACAGCTCGTACCTGCTAAACACATCTGTTTTTGTTCTGATTATCATGTTTATCGCACTGAAATCATGCGTTTTAAACCATATTAGTTTAAACTTCTGATATACAGTTTTCTGAGTGCACACGCACAGAAAGCGGCTGTCACAGCATGTGAGTACTAAACTAAGCTCTCATTCACACACAAGTTTACGTTACAAACACACACCAGTTATGTCTGTGAAGGTGTCTGTGAAGGTAAACAGCTGGGAAATAAATCACATGTGTATTTTAGATCTGTGTGGCAGCAGCAATATACAGTAAATAAATCAATAAATCACTGCTCTGTCGTCTC